CTGGGTGGCTCAGTCAGTTGAGCGTCTGCCTTCGGCTCGGGTCATGATCCCAGGGTCCTGGGATCGAGCCCCCATCGGGCTCCCTGCTCAGCGGGAGGCCTGCTGCTCCCCCTCCCTCTGCCCCTCCCCCTTTCTCTTGCTCAAAATAAATAAAATTAAAAAAAAAAAAAAAGAATCACCCTTGACTCCATGGTGAGGCCCCATCCCCAGGACACTCCCTCCTCCAGGGCCCTCCTCTTCTGTCCTCTTCGCCCCAGCTGCCAGTACCTCCCGAATCATCACTGTGACTCTGGGCCACAGGCACTTCAACACCCACTCAGTTGTGTTTTCTCTCTCTCTTCGAGCCGTGGCAAGAACCCTCACCGCGAGGTCTACCCTCCTAGCAGCCTGCGGCGGTGTGATCCCATCAACAACAGGCACGGTGCCGAGCAGCACACTCTGGAACCTTCTCCTCCTGCACCCCTGAAACCTCATGCTCCGTGATGAGCTCCTCCCCACTCCCTCTCCCCTTTTCTTTCGACTGAAGGACCTGAATGACAAAGTGAACGTCGCGACACTGCTGTAAATCCCAGACACAGGACAGTCACTCTCCGACCCCTCCAGACGGCGTCTCCCAGAGGCTGAGGACCAGGGGCTTCCTGAGGGGGAACATTTCCCTGAAACCTGCCTTCTTCAGTGCATGGGCATCAGATCTTCACATACAAGCTATTTTCCTCCTTTGCCTCTGAGGGAGGCTAGGAGCTCCGAAGAGGAAATCTGTCCTCCACCTCCTCCTTGCAGCCCTGGGGTTTCCTCTCTAAACATCACCAGCGGCTCACGCCAGTCCCTGGCGTCACTATCTAATTCAAACGAGCTGAGGGAAGATTCCTTTTATGTAACCCCAAACCAGTTTTAAAAAAGCAACAAAGCCTACAGATCTCATCTACATAATGCCGTGAAAGGAAAGCAAGCATGCCGTGCATCTGTCTCGTGGGATGAGCAGTCAGGGCATCCGTGAACGCGCAGGGGTGAAGGATACGGGAGCCTTCCCAACCTGAGCTTCGGCCTGAATGTCCTTGAGTGCAGCCAACTGCCCTTGTAAAGCTTTAATTTCTTCTTTCTTTCGTTTTTCTGCTTCTTCTGTAGCTGCTTTCTTCTGTGCCTGGTATGAAAATTATTTTTCCATTAGAATAGCCACTTAGGGTAGTCTTAGAAATTGGGAGAACGTCACGGCATATGAATTATGTTTCTCATAAGTTATGACAGTCACTAAGATTAACAATATAACTGGGGTCAAAGTACCTTCACCAAATTAATCTGATAAATGTTTACGGACAGATAGAAGCACACGTCCTCTCAGCTGTCACTATTCCTATTTACAGATGGGGAAACTGAGAGTCTCACAGGCAGAACGTGGAGGAGCTAGGATCTGAACTCAGGGAGACAAGGTTTCCCTGGTTTCCTGCACAGGAAGCTCCTTGAGTAATCTGTCGGTTTATTCGTGGACCAAATAACTTCAATAGAGGATTAAGTCATAATTTCATAAAAGCTGACTTACCCTAATTTCAGCTTCTGTAGGTCTGCCATCTATTTTAGCAAATCCCTCAAAAATTGTTTTATAGAGAACATTCTTGCGTGTGGTGTTGTCGTCAGGAGGGAGGTACTCTAGAATAAAAGCCCGGTGCTGTTTATACATGTCCAAAATAACTCTAACCGCTGTCTCTCGAACCTCATACACTCTGTGCTCCAGGGCGCTCACTGAAAACTAAACAAAGTTGGGAGGGGTTCTTGTGGTTACTGATTCTGACAATAACAGAGTACATTTTTCCCCAGCATGAAAGAAATATAGGCACATTATAAAAATTTGAAAAAGAACACCACCCACAAAATTCTGGCTATTACGACACCCAAGTTTTTCTCGCTGTGTTTCCCTCACACACGCAGTGGAGCTCACGTTGGATTATATATAACTTTGTGTTTCGCTTTTTTCCATTTAACATGCCAACGAACATTTTTTGGGTTATATCCTTCTGTAGACTTCATATTAAATATTATAAAGTATTCCAATCATCGAGAAGGGGAAATATAAGAAACTACACGCATCCACCATCCACATTAACCAATGTTGTAATTTTGCCATGTTTGTTTTGGATCTTTAAGAAATGAAACACCGTGGTGATGGTGTGAGTCCCAGCAGAAGCCTCCCGGGCCCCACGGCCTTGCCGCGCTCTGCGAGGGCACGGCTCTCCCGAGGCCGGCCTGTGCGCTCCCATCCGGACGCGCGTTTACGTGTGTGTGCGTGCGTGCTGGGTACACACATGGGGTGTTTGTTTGACATTCTAAAGAGTATACTGTGCTTATCTTTCTGAAACTTTCTTTCCTCCTACTCCGCATTTCTTTGCCAAGGACGTTCGTTCGTCACGATCCATTTCAGCTGCTCTACGGTGTTGTGCCGTGACACGTTCGTCCCATCCCACACTGTCGATACCACGCTCGGTAAATTGACATCTCCCTGTGGGGCTTTGGGCGCCGGCCTCTCACTTCCCGCAGTCTCAGCCTGCCACAGGCTTTTGGTTTTACCCCAGTCGCTGGCACCGCCTCTAGGAGTCCCACCCTCTGATGGTCACCTCCTACCTTTCCCACTTTTTCTAATACTCCCTCCCCAGATAATTCCTCAACCCCGTCCGGGCCTCTGGTCCACTCTGGACCCAACACTGTCTTCTCCCGTCCGTCACCTCGCTCAAGCCTTTCCTGCCCCACGTGTCCATCACTAGGTCACTTCTGGGACCCCTTCTTCCTGCGCAGTCACGTGCCTGCAGACTTGAGAAGCATGCTGACTGGCCCCACGCCGGACTCGCCACGACAGGTGCCACGGGGGCTCCGGGCAGTGCACAGTGACCTGACCTGAGGCATTTCCGGCCAGTTCACTTCCTTAGATGTTAAGGGGGCGTTTCATACGTCCTTCTTGTCTCTCAAACCTCCGTTATCCCGTCAGGCTTTGAGCGGACTTCGTCCGTGGAGAGGATGCGTGTTGCCCGCTCTGCGTGCAGCCAGCCCTGCTGCGTACACACCGGAGCCCGACCCCACTGGCCACTCGGGGACTTCGCTCCTGTCGTAACCAACCCCTCCTTCCAACGTTCCCCGTGCCTCGTCGCTGCGGCAGAGCTCACCGGGACTGAGGCCAAGGCTGGCGTCTTGAAGCGGGGCGCCGGCTAATGGGCAGCCATGTGTCCCGGGCAACAAGAAAACTGCACTTGGAGGCAAGAGAGAGGCTGGTCCACGTGACTGCAGAGTGAGTCAGAAGGGAAAGTCCCCTGGGGAGCTGGCAGTGGCCGGCCAGGCAAGCGATGATGGGGGCTGGACCTTCGTGCAGCAGGGGAGCTGGGAGGCCGGTCGGCGTCTGGATATATTCGCAGGAAGAGCCCATGGCATTTGCTGAGCCAACAGAAGAACGGTGTTGCCATTTACAGAAACACGGAAGGCTGAGAAGGAGCAGGTCAGAGAGGAGGGCAGGCGCTCCATCTGGGCGCGGGGCGGACATGGCTTGCAGGGGGAGTCAGGTGTCCAGGGAGGGCACGCACAGAAACTCTGTCTTCCACAGACGGGCGGGAAGGCGCAGGTGAGGTCAGCGAGGGAAGGTGTGTGCACAGGAACGAGAAGAGGAGGCCTGGACACTCCAAAGTTAACGAGATCAGGAGGATGAAGAAGAACCAGAAAAGGGACCCAGACAATGAGGCCAAGCGTGGGGTAAGTGGGGCGCAGAGCTCCAGAAGTCTAGGGAGGGAGTGTTTGAAAGGCTTACTTACTTTAGTGTCTAAATCATTCGTCCGTAGAGGAAACACATGAGTGGAAGTGGCCTGACATGATCCTGCCTTTCCTGATGGCACATTTGATTACATGAGGACCTGGTCCAGGTCTCCGAGTCGATGCATGCGTGGAACCCACGGAGAAGGGAGGCCCTCCCTTCCCGCGCGGACGGGAAGGAATGCGGAGTGCTGATGCTTGGGCTGCGCCACAACGAGCCGCCGTGAGGGCGCTGCAGCTCCTCGTCTCACGCCGGCTGCATGCTCAGAGCGCACTTCCAGCACATTCGAAATTAGGGAGAGGGGAGTCCTGGCTCTGGCAGACAGCTTCTCTCCCAGGACGTCTGTGGTTTCATCAGGTCGTCCATTTCCGCTGCTCTACACGTCCAGATGCTTGATGTCCCCAGTGACACTGCAGCTCTCTCTTACGGACATGGGCTCTTCACAGTCTGTCCACCACCAGGGACCAACGTCCACACGTACGTGCCGACTCACGGCAGAACGAGGAGCAGGAAGCCTTTGTTAGATGAAACAGCGACTGGTTTTCTGAAGTCATTCACTCACTCGTTCATTCAACAAACACTGAGTAGATGCCCACCATGCTCCAGGCCCATCTCAAGTGCTCGGCCGCATGGCACCAGAGGTGCGCTTACCTTCATCACGTTATCGATGGTGAAGCCCATGCCCCCGGTGCCCAGGTCTTTCAGAAGCCGGGCCAGGAGGCCTATCTGACTCATTGCCAGATGATTCGAAGAGTTGGCTTTTAATGGCTGCACCAGGTAAGATGGAATAATTTGGAGAGACCTAACTTCCTTGAACAAGGCCATTTCCTATAAAAACCAACATAACTGTGTTAATTTGTACTAGAAAATGCTAGAGGCAACTTAGTGTACTTCAGTATAATCCTCAAAGTAAAAATCGAAGGAAAAAATAGGGAATAAAAAATAGCGGTAAAATAATTTATCTCTAATAACCTCATTATTTCTATTTAAGATATAATGATTAAAAACAAAACCCCAAATCATAAAAAATAAAACCATGATCACTCACAGATAAATGAAAGCTTTACAAGAAATGTGATCTAAAACTTAAGATTTCATTTCTCAGGATTTCCCCACTTCAGGAAAAAGGTTTTCTAATTTCTAAAATTCTAGAACAAATGAGTATTGTGTTAGTCTTTATGAGACTGGCCAAGAGGGTAGCAGTGCACAGTTTCTGGCTGACGGGACCGCCGGTGGGCTTACGGGAGAGCATGAAGTCCCACTGCCAACGAGTAAGTCTTTCTACAATTAAGGTATTTAGCATTTAAGCAGCCAGACACAGAAAGAGGAATGATAAAATACTGAAGCATATGGGTTGCAATATAGAAAGAAATCAGTTTTGGGGGCGGCCTGGGTGGCTCGGTTGAGTGTCCGACTCTCGAGTTCAGCTCAGGGTCATGGGATCGAGCCCTGCATTGGGTTCCATGCTCAGCGGGGAGTCTGCCTGGGATTCTCTCTCTCTCCCTCTCCCCCCCTCACCCCTTCCTCTCCCTCTCTTAGAAAATAAATGACTAAATGAAGGACTGACACACTCTCATTTTCAATGTTCCTTTTGAAAGATGCCACCTCCCCCAGATTTACTGAGCCACACTGAGAGGGAGTATCTTGTAGGACTTGAGCATCACTTATTTTCACCTTCCCGTTAATATAATGTACTGCTTTTTCATTCTGCCCCAGAACTCAGGTTAAAGGAAATGGGATGACTGGTTCTTCATACTGGAAAAATGACCACCCTGAGAAACTAGGAAAGCTAGGGAGTCCTTCCCAACAGAATGTTGTACGGAATCTGAGGACTCCATAGACTTGCTGAAGCCCAAGCACGGGCCGCAGTCAGGGCAGAGCTCCCAGAACTCTCTCGGTATCCCCACAATACCTGGCCTGGAGGAGGCATGTTTGTTGAACGAACAAAACTATTTAGATTAAGGCCATTACACATTTATTATCTCTTTACCCCCAGTTTTCTACTCTGGTTTAGTTTTCCATATATTTTTACTAGAAGTTACTAGCATACGTTGAAGAAGAGAAATACTAGACAAGTCAAACTATACTTTAATCGAAGGCAAACTTCAGCTCTCGGAGCACCAGGCAAGTATGACAGGGAGTCACGAGGAGGATCAATAATGCTATTAGGAGAGACAGAACCTGGTAAGGTATTCAGAAAGTCAAATAGCGTAGTAACAGGCTCATTATTTACTGTTTCAAATTTTATGGTGAAATTTGTACCTGAATAAAATTGGAAGCTATGACTCGGAGGCGAGCAGAAGAGTCTCCAGTCCTGGTGAGCAGGACGGGGATGGTTCTTTCCACACAGTGAGCGGTTTCAAGCTTACTCAGTTTGTGTTTAGGAATATATTGCGTAATTATCATTTTCAACAATTTCAAAGAAGCCTGAAAAACCTAAGAAAAAAGCGGCAAAAGCAGAGGAGCTCCTGTAACTGTATTCCAGCAGAGAAAACCTAACATTTACCGCTGGTAACAACTGTGGACACTATGCTGGAGATGCCTTGCTGCCGGAGGGCTGGTGAGGGCGGACTGAAAGCCGCTTCCCAAACGCAGGGCCTCGCGTACGGAACGCGTGGGCCCTCACCTTGAGCGACGGAAAGAGCCGCCCGTGGGCCTGGAGGCCACACCCCGAACACTCCTAACTGCGTACGTGCGGGCAGTGTGCCCCCGGGGCGTGCTCACTCTTGCGGCCCCTTTCACAGTCAGGGGATCCAGGAATAACCCCAAGCCCCTCAGCTTCCATGAAAAATAAAAACAGAAACCGAGCACTCAATCAGTCCCCGTGAGTCGGGCCTCAGCGGACCCTGGCTTCAAGGCGCGGGGAAGCTGACCCCGTTCGAGAGCAGGGCGTGCGGCCAGGTGAGCACAGACTGCGCAGGCTCTTCACCCACCACACTTCTTGCGAGAGACCCTTCCTTCCTAGTGACACCCTGTGCTCCCCCGTGGCCACCCGACCTCCTGAGGCACCTCACCCGGGGCCACCGGGGGCAGAGGGGACTCACCGGGGTCACTATGTCTCTGAGGGCTCTTCTCACGAGAAAGATGGACGTGCGCAGCATGCTCTTCAGCTCTTCCTTCGCGGTTCCAGCAGGCGTCTCCATCAGCCGCTTATACAGGGCAAGCAGCGCGTCCTCCCGGTACGACCACGTCTTGGAATAGGCCCCCGCGACCTACCACAGACCGGAGGCCGGCCTGACTCAGAGCAGGCACGTCACTGACACCGCCCCACCCCAACACCGTGCGACCCGACACACGGAGAAGCATCTCTGGTGGGACAGAATGAGTATGCGTGTTTGAGGAAGTGCCTGTCCTAATGCGGAATACTGAAGACCCGTAAAACACGGGAATATGAGAAGTTCCGCCAAGAGAAATACTGGGAAGCTGGGAACTAGGGGAAAACCCACGGGGCTCATTTCCATACGGAGACCCTCCCATCTTCTGTTCTGCTTTGCCACCATTTCCCCTGGGATGGGCAGGTGTTCCAGAAAGGGGCAGATTTTCAATCCCAGCTCTGTCAGTACTAGACAGAAACACCCAGTCTTAAATGAACACGCATTCATAAAATCTTAAATTCTACCTTCTGTTTCTGCTGTTTTGTATAATTAATGATTACTGAAAGACTTCAACTGAACACTGAGACCAAAAGGGAGCCAACAAGATCACGGACAAAGCCGAGGGCGCCTCCCTGCCTGCCTCCTCCCCGTTCCGCGCACCCGCCCGCGGCACTCGGCCTACCAGGCTCTCTCCGAGCACGTCCACGGCGGGGCCGGCCTCCCTCAGGGCCTTCTCCGTCAAGGGCTCCGGCTCTCCAGCCGCACCTCCCCTGGGAGCCTCGCTGACATCACTGTCACTCTTTTCTGGTTCCAGGGCCACTGCTGGCTGCTTCCGCGAGGCAGGAAGGGGCCGCTCGTCGTAGGGCACGGACTGGAGCTGCAGGGGAGGAAGGGCGGCTGCAGAGCTCCCTGGGTCTGCCCACCTGCCAACACCGCGTCTACACTGCAGGCCGACTGCTCTGCACGATGGTAGTTGTATCGGATCAGAATAATTTATACAGGAGGATTCAACTGAAAAAATTAGGTTACGGTTTCCACTCCTTTCTAAACTCACTGTAGATCCAACAGAAAAGCGATATAGATTCAGCCTCAGTTACTATTTACCACTAGTAATTACGGTTCAGCGGACAGGTAGCTTACAAAATAAAAGCTATTTTTTCCTGACAAGACTTCTGATTTTTTTCTTAGTTTATGAGTTAGAAATAAGTATCATGCCTCATTTCAAACGTGTTCATTATCTGGCAGACACATACTAAAAACAGGCAGCCAAGCTAACGACCCTTCCACAGCCTTCCCGTGCTCTGGGCAGGCAGCTGTCTGTCCCCCCTCAGCCCTGCAGGTGCTCGCCGGGCCCCCTGCCCAAGTGATGGGCGACACGACACCCCCACCTCCTGGGGCTTCCATCCACATGCAGAGACAGAGGTGCACACCTGAACACGTACATAGGTGGCAGACTTTCGGGAAATTAGGTGGAAGAGAGATTCCGGAGTCACTTCCACTGAGACATTAACTGGCGTCTGAAGAGGCCGGTGCATACTATGTGTGCAAGTGAGGTTCTCATATTCTAAACTCTACTCTGCTATAAAACAAAGATGCTGACATGCTGACGAAGGGGCAGTTAAGACCATTTTAAACCAAAGTACTGAATATGACTTAAAGCAATGACATCACAGACAAGATGCTCCCGGCGGGGATGACAGGGACCCTCAAAGCTGTGCACTGGGAGGCCAGCAGCATGAGTGCTGTCCTCTCTGGCTTTCCTGGGCCTCAGGCTGCAGCAGCCACGGGCCCGTGCCCACCTGATACCCTGCCTTCCTCCCCAGAGCCCACCGGCCGCGCCACCTTGCCCGCCAGCTGGAGTCCCAGCGAAGGCCTCCTTTGGTCCTCGTCATCACTCAAAGGCTGGCATGTGACCGGTAACTCAGAATGGGACGTGCTTGCCCCTTTCAGGGGACAACGCGCAGACGTGAAGCTGAGGGTCACACGCGAGAGCTCTAGCTCTGGGGTGACTTGGAACCACAGGAAACAGAGTGGAAAGACAGGAAGAGAGCGGGCGCTGAGGACACTGTGAAGCTACTGAACCCTTAAGCCTACATGAGCTCTCAAGTCCCGAGTGACAAACAGCAGGAGACCCCCAGTCTGAGCTAGCTCTTCTGCTACTTACAACACAGAAAATCCTCAAAGCACGGTAACCATACATGACTCGTATGGAGGCCCTACTGAAGTCCGTTCTGGTCACTTTACAAACATGGTCTCGTTTATTATTCCTGGAAACAATCCTTCAAGCAGATATTTGTACATTTTTATAGAAAGGAAAGCAGAGGCTCAGAAGGATGGGGCGTCCCGGACCACCGGCTGAATGGGGCAGAAGCAGGCAGGAGGCCTGCACATCTGACTGCAGACAGGGCCTCCCAGTGAGGTGTCATTACCTGCTGGCTGCGTCAGCCACCACGTTCTGGCTTCGGCATTTACCCCCCTCACCTGGAATGTCTGGCAGGAAGGTTCTGCGTTGTGTACCCTGATCCATCCCCTGCATGGGGAAAGCCTTGGCACCATGCGGGTCCTCCCCATGTGTCTGCTGAATAAACCGCACACAATCTGAAACCGAGTTACCTACATGGGTCTTGAGATGAAGGTCTGTGGCGCGTGGTGACAGGTCCACTGTGGAGTGCTGAGAAGGGCCCAGGGCATGCGCTGGAGGCTTTTCCTGAAGGAAAGGCTCTGCAAACCGGCTTTCTGGTGCGCTTTCTTCTTGCAGCAGGGACGGCATTGGCTGTTGGTGGTGAGGACTGGCAGAGTGAGCAAGGGGCTGGGCGGGCAAGTCGGAAGGCCTTCGCATCTGGGGAAAAATGGGACACCTCACTCCCAGTGCTGTTGCCTGGGGGCAACAGGTGGGACGTGACCATTTAGGAAGGCAGAGTGACAATCTGCATCAACGGTGTCCCCCAGTCCTGTCGCAGCCTTTCAACCCTCTCCCCATGGTGGCCATGGCCCCACAGAGCACACCGGAGTGCCCGCGTGACAGCAAGCACAGCGCCTGGGTCACCCAGCGTGGAAACACGCACACGCACCTGCCAGCGAAGACGTGGTGCGTGGGGTAGGAAGCACCCGGGCAGGACCCCAACCCTGGCGTGGCTGTGTACCCTGTGGCTGCAAAAGCAGCCTGTTTTGTGTCATCACAACATAGTTACCATGGCCAGGGCGAAAAGTGTGCCAGACAGACGCTCTCATTTAAGGCACACCACTTTTACCAGGAGGCAGAAACTGAGGCAGAGTGGCTAAGGAATGACCCGGGGATCCCACCGCCGGCAAGGGGCCGGGCCGGAGCCCAGGCAGTGAGGCTCCCGAGTCCGCACCGACCCGCACGACTCTGCCACGTGGGGTGCGCACCAGCTGCCTGTGGGCTAAAGGTGAGCGGCGGAACGTCTCCCAGGACACACGGTCTCGACAAGCTTAGGCCGTTAGGATTAACCGCACACGACCCTCCTGAGGCCCTCGTGGGGCGAACGTGGGGCAGCGCTGCCTTCAGTTCACTGTACAAACGGGGAAGCCGAGCCGGGGAGGAGGGGCGAGATCCGCGGCTCTGGCTCGTCCGCTCTCTCCTCCGCCCTGAGTCTGCCTGCAAGCGCGCGTCCCACAGCGCCTCCCGACGCAGGCCCCACAGTTGACGCCACCTGTCTGAACCGGCACCTGCGTGTGACGGAGCCGCATGCACGTGGACACGCGGGCGCTGTGGGGCGTCTCCGCGGCCCCGAGGGCCGCTGCCCGGGCACCTACCAGCTCGCCGTCCACCAGGCTGTGCAGCTGCAGCTGCTCGTACACCTGGCTTCGGAACCGCTCCATCTGCTGCTTCTTCTCCTTGGCCAGGTCGTAGTCCTCCTTCTCCACCGCACAGCGCTTCTCCACCTCGTAGCGCCCGAGCCGCTCTCCGACCTGAGGCACACGGGGTCACGCTGCTTCAAATGTGCACCCACCCCAGCCAGCGCAAAGCGAGGCCTGGGTGACGGGGCTGCTGCCCGCGTAGCCTGCGCGGAGGAGGGGCTGAGCCGGGGCCACGCGGGGGCGGCTAAGAAACTGCACGAGTCCACAGGGACGGTAAACATCTTATGTTTTTCTACCACTTTAGGGCGGCAGTGTGGCATCTGAGGATGATGTCTGAAGAGGCCGAGCGTGTGCCTTCGCTTACATTTTATTTAGGGTCTTACCCCCTTGGACCCACACTAGTACCCATAGCTTTTAGCGACCTACCCCTTTGCTGTACCAGGGTCAGGACCACTGACTGCCTTCTCACACACCTGCGGGAGGACTGTTCTCTCCAGGAGCAGTACCTTTTGCAAATCAGCAATAGCTTGTTTCAGCTTCTTGGCATAGTCGTAACGTTCCTTTTGGACGGCTTCACGTTTTCTTTCATCTAATTTGCGTATAATCTGGGCAACTTCTGGATCTTGGTACATATCAAAAGCTAAGTCATCCAGTGGAGAAATATAGTCAGATTTCCTAAAGGAGAGAAATGCATATTTTAGAGCTGACGTCGCCGTAGGTGACAGCGTGGTGGCAGAGGGAGCCCTAGGGGCTCATGACGGAGGAGGAAGAGTCGCAGCAACGGCACCCCCCACACCTGCTCCTGGAGCATTCTTGCCGGAGAAAGTGGAGGCTCAGAAGAATCGGGGATGGGCTTCAGGTCACCCAGCTCTTACGTGCAGGCAGGTCTCTGACTCCACAGCTCGTGCTCCCGCCCATTACTGACACTGCACGGGGGGCTTCTGAGCCTTTGGGGCATTGGTTCTTCCACAAATATTTTGAGTGTGGACTCTGTGCCCAGCTCTGTTCTGGGCACCAGGGACATAACAGTGCCTGTGAATCATCCGTAGACTAGGAGAAGCCCCAGCCAAAGCAGACTGCCAGGCCTCATCTCTAGAGAGGCTGACTCGGTGGGCCCCAGGTGGTCCAGGCGTCCATATTCAACACCAGCGCCACAGTGAGCACGACAAGCACTAAAGATGCACATGGGCTATGCCGGGGCCTCAGCTCACAGGGTCAGGCTGCAGGATATCCCAAGTCCTGGGTAGATCAGAACAATCCTTCCAGGAATAAAAGATCTCTGTAGTGATCTGAGTAACCCATTCCTGATTACCGCTTCATTCTTTCTTTCAGATTCTACAGCAGGCTGGCAGCTTTCTCCTGGGTCTAACACTTAGAATAATGCCTAACCACTCAACAAAAATGCTGGCAGAGGACATATTTCAAAGTCTCTGTCTGCCGTACCAGCTACATAAAATAAGCCAGGTGTTAGCTTTGACTTAGATATTTTTATATACAGGTAAATTTTAATGAAAATATTTATCATAAAAAATTTGGTTGTCTAAAAATAAATTGAAACAGGACACATGACAACATCACTTTTCAGAACGATCAAACATCCCCCCAACACTTCCCGACTCCTGGAAATCAGGCTGTTTGCTTACAGCACCACCACCGGGCCTGGGGGTTGGCTCAGCTTGGGCAGCTTTGAACAGTATCAATTAGTGAGGACCAAACAGCAACACGCTTTGGTACTGGCACAAGGTTAACTATTTTTACCTAAATACATACTATACTTTTAAGTCAAAGTTACTTTGCCTTGAAGTCCTGGAGATGAAAACAAAGAATTTATTATGAAAATGCTACAAAGAAACACATGATGTCATCTGGCGTGGGAGTCACAGCTCCAGGGCTGTGCGTGGGCAGCTTCCCAAGAGCCGGTCTCGCCCTGCCCACGACCGCCCCCCCGTGGTGACCCTGGCTCGGCCCAGCACACAGCCTTCCACAGACCGCTCTCTTTACCCTCAGGAAAGCCCTGCAGATGAGTCAGGATAGACAAACCCCGGTCTGCCAGTCCAGGTGGCTAACTTGATGAAGAACTGATTTAAACAAGAGTCCAAATAACCCAAAGAGCTTCTGTGGGAGATCCTAAAACCGACCAGTGGGATTGGCTGCCCATGTGCTACCAGCTGGAGCTTCACTGAGGGCAGAGCCAAAGAGCTGTCCCGGGGTTGGTGCCGACGGACAGGGAGGGACAGTGTGGCAGTCCCCACCTGGAAAGGTAAGGAGGGCACTGCTCTTACTGTCTGGCACAGGGAGAGTCTGCGGGAGACCGACGGGCTGCGTAGGGGAGAGGTCACTTTCCTCACTATTTCATACACATTTAGGGACTGCTTTTACTTTCTAAGCACTCCCTACTGATATCCACCCCGTGACAGCCAGGCTGGAGGCCCAGGGAGGCTCTACAGGAAGCAAGGCAGTCCAAACCAATGAGAAAGTTCTTCAGTCTTAAGCCGGGCTCTTGTGCTTGCATAAAATATGGAGAGAGTCTCTCTGCGGTCACTCAGGAGCCACTTGCTGAGCTAAGCGTGCGCACCAGCGGACAGCGAGCCTTGCTTCTGGCGGAGCCTCCCCTGGGCCTGCAGCTGGGCTTCACGAGGGCCCAGCCTGAGGGAGGTGGGAGCCACACCATCACGGGCTGGATGAGAGTGGGGAGGGCTTAAAGCAGACATAAGGTGAAGGCTCTAGTAACTGATAACCTGGGTCAATTAATTCCTTTAATTCTTACCTACAAAGTTGTCTGTGCCAATAAAATATCAAAGGATGGCCGATAGATCTTTTACCTGCATGTAGGAACTTTCTAGTAATACCTGAACACACAAGAAATGGAGCAGTCTCCAAAGGGCAATAATTGAAGATGTATGTGCTAAGTAAAACAGTGACCTTAATCTTTAAGTGTATTTAAGTCAATCCCATCAGTGGCTTAACTAGCTCAGAACTGAATTTAGAGGCTCTCGAACCCCCAATCCTCTAGAGCTGACTCACACTTTGGCAATTCTAAGGGGAGTCTAGGAGCTGATGGCCTTGTGGGGAGGATTCTTACCCAGTACAAGTTCCTTCCAGAGCTGGGTCCTCGCTGTTGTGCCCCAGATAATGATCAATCAGCTTCTCTCTAGAGGTCTTTGGGAGCAAAAAGTTCTGGTTAGTGTCTCAGAGGAAAACAGGAACAACACGAAACCTTAACTAAGAGATGGCGTGATATATAGATGTCAGCGGGCTTTGAGAATCCTAGTCTTTTGGAGAGACAGTTAAAATTCTTGAGTAAAAGAAAGTTTAATACACTACAGCTGCTAAAAATTATCTAATTATTCAACAATTTTATAAAGATTTTCAAAGATGACACTTTTTGTGACAAAAATAATCAATCTCCTCTTGTTAGAAATACATTTTCTTCTTTAAGAATGAAACGTCCCAAACTTACAATATTGCTTTCATCACTGAAATCTGCAGGGTCTCCAATGATATTTACTGCAACCAGAGCAACCTAAGAAAGAGTTAACCAATCGAAATTAAGTATAAAATGTTTGTGATGACTTCCCCCCTTTATTATAAACTGCTTGCTCATACTGTCATCAAATGGGATGATGTACACCAAAGCACCTTAATTGTAAAATGTCAAACTATAGAATTATTATTATAGTTTTTGTAAATTATGTAAGTTAATATTCTAATGGCTAATCAAATGGTTATTTTAACGTCTAAAGTACATTAAGACAATAACGGCTAAAAGCCTCCACAGTTTTGTTTTGTTTTTTTATTTGAGAGAGAGAGCATGAGAGGGGGGAGGGTCAGAGGGAGAAGCAGACCCCCTGCCGAGCAGGGAGCCCGATGCGGGACTCGATCCCGGGACTCCAGGATCATGACCTGAGGCGAAGGCAGTCACTTAACCAACTGAGCCACCCAGGCACCCCAAGCCTCCACAGTTTTAACACAGCATCGCATCGAACCGTTCCCTCATAGTCCAGTATGGGGACCCATCTATTCAATCCTGGTAAATGCCACAATGGACTGAAAGCCTGTGTTAACACAGCTCAGTTTGTCTGGGTCTGTGGCTCCCCCTGAAGGGGGAGGACTCCCCTTCCCACACCCTCTCTCCCTTGAGCGTCACTGCAGGGTGGAACTAAGTGAGGGGGTTTTCCTGGTGGGGCCGACGTAGAAAGAGGTTAGGGATCAATCTTCAGGTTCACGGTCAAGCACTGCTGCGGCGGACCCAGCAACGGAACTACATCTCAGAGCTCTCCTCAACTCACTTGCTGGGTATAAAACTCTGATTTGGTGGAATGTTCCACTCCTCTTAGAGCGGGTGGGGAGTGTTGTCAATATACATGCTAATGAAGAGCCTGCTTTGGACACAACTGATTTTTACTACATGAACCATGCCAAAAACAAAACTAAAAGACAAGACAAGAAAAAGGAAAAGAAAGATGGGACGGGAGGGAGGGAGAGATAAGAATGAGGACTTGAAATCACATCCCCAAGTCTTACCAGGGGATTTATCTTGCAAAAGTTTAGCGGGTTTATCTAGAAAGAGTGTCACCTAACAGAAACAACACAAGCCCCGTAGATAATTTTAAATTTTCTAGTGGACACAGTAAAAAAATTGTAAAAAGTAGCAGATGACATTGATCTTAAACCTAACATCACCACAATATTATCATTTCACTGCTTAACTGATTCTTTTTCTGAGTTGGAGTGTCCAGTTAGCCCAAGCGGCCCATCACACTTGGGTTGGCCAGGCGCCCAGCGTGCTCCTGCTGCGTGGGCTGGTGGCTCCCGATCGCACCACACGGCTCCCAGAGAGCTTAACGTTCTGCCATAAAAGTTACCATCTTAAAAAAAGATTTGAAGTGCCTTTGCCAAGGGGCACAGGGTCCTGGGATGCTGCGAGGAGGTGGGGAGCGGTCAAGGTGAGGGCGCGCATCTCACCTGATTGTATATGTTGTACTTGTTGACGTGGTTCTCGTGAAAAATCAGCTTCAGGAACTGTCCTACTGCATCCACGTAGACGGACTTCAGCTCCCGGGCTTTGCAGCCTGTCTTCTCATTGTCACAGAGAGAGATGTAGCTGAAAGGGAGAGCACACGCCGGCATCATGCTGACAGAAAACGTGTGCGCAGCGAAACTGAACTCAACGGGTTTCAGTCCAAGTCAAGTCTAGAATGCAAAAACCTTGGGAGAAGCCCAGGAACGGTATTCTAACCCGTTCTCTTGAAACAAGTTGTGCATCTGAGGAGCAGAGGCGAATGGTACTGACACCCAACAGTCCTGCTTACCGAGCGCGTCTCCACGAGGCAGCGCGCCTGACCCCACAGAAGTCTGACCAGGACCGGGAGCAGGGCGGTCCTTTCGTTCCCGCCGCTCGGACACGGGGAGAGTCGGACTAAAAGTTCCCATCACAAGCCTTCGGTCTCACCCTTACCCAAGTCTCCGGAACCGCTCCGCCTGGTAGGGCACAAAGTACTCGGGCAGGCTCTCGCTGATGTAGAACTCCACTTTACTTGGGATCATGTACTGGTGGGCAAGCAGCTGCAGCTTCCTGATTCGACACCTCTCCACCATCTGAAGAACGATTTCTTGTGGAAACTGGCAAAATCTGAAAGCAAACACGTGTGTTTGTCACACAGTTACCGCGAGGGTTCCCGGCTGTGTGCACGGCACCCCGCACGCATCGAGGTGGTCTGCAGGGGCTGGCGCCAGCGCCCTGGGCTCGGTGGAGCTGAAGCTGCAGTTCAGACTGCCACCCGATGCTTTTGGCAACTGGAAAATGGTTTGAAATGAAACGGTTTCAAATGAAGTTCAACACAAGATAAAAACATCAATCTTAAGATGAGGCTGCACTGGTGGGAAAGACAGAGCCAAAGGATTTTGCCCAGGAACCCAAATGCTTTAGGAAAGCCACCTGCTCAGGGAATCTGAGTGATGAGTGCCTACCACGCATGTTCAGTGGTCTGCAGGAGAGGCCTATGACTGTCCACAGGGGAGCTTCTAGTTTCTGCCTCCTAAGTGACAGAGCACATCAACCACCCACATGAGAACGGGTTGGAGAACCGCGGCTGCAGGATCTGATCATGACTGAGCAACAGAGCACAGTGCTCAGACCACGGATACTATGTATGCTGAGCTGGCAAGCGCTGGGTTACTAGAACAGTGGGGCATCGAAGGCCCTGGGAGCGGGAAGCAGCCAAGGATGGAAGAGCTGGAAAGGGCCCGGCGGCCTTGTGGGTGAGCCCACTCCTGCCCACTGGCCATGCTCCAACCCCCCGCCACCTCTCCCAGCAGCCCCCCACTCCACTGAGAAAACTGGCCTCAAATGGGACTGCTCCCACTGCTCCCCGAAAGGAGCAGCATCCCTGCTGGTGCCCCATCCCCCACTCACTCCCCTGAATGGCACCAGAGCCTGCCTGCCCCCACCCAGGCTTTTCTCTCCCCATCACTCCCATCAACACACACACACACACACACTCTAGAACCCCCCATTTTAAGAAACCCCTCCTGTGACCCCACATCCTTCTTGGCTCCCATGCCAGCACTTGGCAAACCAGCACAGCTCTCTCATGCACCCCCTCCCCAGCCCCTCCAGGGTGCTTGGCCCATATTTCCACAGCTTACTCTCACCACGGCCACCGCTGGGCCCCATGATGCTGTGTACAAGTGTACCTCCTGGTCCCGGCTTCACCTAGCCCACAGGCCTGAGCCCGTATGACTGGAGGGGGCCCTCCCCTCCATCCAGGCCTGCACTGCCCCTGGGCTGGGCTCCAGGCTCCTTCCTCTCCCTACATTCACCATGGGGGAGCCTATCAGACCCTGGCTTTAAAACCCTCCTGCTTGTCAAGGAACCCCAACTAGACATCACCCCAAGTCCAAGCCGTGATCTAGCTGGTGACTTGACCTTTCCACGCAGACACGATAGGCATTAGCTATGACAGACAAAACAAACTCCTGACCCCAGCCACCCTCCCCGATCCTTCGGAGCCAATCTCCTCGTCCCCCTGCTGTGCCCACCAGGGAGAGGCACGGCCACCCCCGGGGCCCTGTTCACCCCCTGCTGCGGAACGAGTGCCCGGCCTCACAGCAGCAGGACAGTAACGAGGGAGGGAAGAGCGCGCAGAGGAACAGCAGGCTGAGCGCACGACAATCTGCGTAGCCTCTGTGTCTAACTGAGGGGTGCGCAGGGGTGCTGGGGGCGGGTGTGCGGTGAGGAGAGGGCAGTGAGCTCAGATCAGAGGGACTCTCAGCTCAGAGGCGCAGTCGCCCGGGCTTTTCAGAGATGAACAGCTCGTAAGAGAGATGCGCTTGGGGCAGGAGGGCGGCTAGGACAGGCTTGTGACGCGAACACGCCTCAGTCCCCCATGGCGGTGAAGCATGGCTCCAGGTGTGTAAGATATTTACTGCTCTCAAATGCCGAGCACGTAGGTTATGACCGCTGGTGAGGTCACTCCAGGCATAAAGACACTTGGTGATCGATCATGAAAAAAACCCTTCCGAAGTGGTTTGAAGAAAAGACAATGGACAAAATTTGGAAGTATTATGTTTTTTAAAATCCTTCAGAAGATGGGCCTGGGACTGTGTTATTCAAATGTAGTTTACAGAACTCAAGCACGCATCAAAGCTGTCCTTCAGGGATACTAAGAGGTGACGGGATGGTGGGGAGCGTGAGAGGCAGGGACGCGGGGAGGGGGCGCGCCGGGGTGGGGAGCCAGCCCCACGGGCAGGAAGCTTGATCAGGCACTTGGGCTCCTGACCGCTTATAACTCTACCTTTGGTGAAGACTGAAGACCTCTCAGGAAAAGGCTTAGTTTCAGAAAAATACTAACTAGTATTATGTTATGCAAGTAACAGGCATTTTTAAAAGTGTACAAGTATTCAAGATCATCATTTGAAAGAGGTGTTCTTGGTTAAAGTTTGGGGTTCACGAAAATCTTACCCACAGGAGCACAGCTGTGACACCAAGGAGCTCAGCACAGAACACAGGGGGGAACGGGAGGCCCAGCGGGCAGCCAGGGAAGACAGCTAAACAACGCTGCGCGGGCCCTCCTCCTGCCCCTCCTCTGCACACATTTCTTAAGTGAACGTCAGTTAATGCTACCAGGGAAAAAGATCCAACAAGTTTTCTTTAAAAATGTAAAGAGAAGGAAGCAACATCCCATCACCGCACAGAAGTGCGTGGCTCTGAGGCCTGAGTGGTAATACAAAGCAGAAGCGTCAAATGAAGGCAGCCCGCTGCCCCAGCCTGGCCCACCTCGGTGACCTCCACCCGCTGACGGTTGGTGCGTGGATCATCAGTTCCCGGGCGCTGAAGCCATCTTCATGTCCAGACGAGCTGACGACAACGAAGCCAATCTTGTGGGGCATCCTGGGCACTGGGCTGTTTATAGGGCAGGAAAGACTTTAAGATAAAGGAACTTGGTAACATTTTACAACATTGAACATGTTAGCTCATGCCTTGCTCATAGACAAAATAATTCACAAGGTATCAGAATTTTCCGATCACTTTGAAAAAATCCAGGTTTTTTTTGTTAAGTGTTTCTCCTAGGAGCCTCTAACTCCACATAAGGTACCATTTATCTTGACTTTTTCCAAATATATGTCCTAAAAATTTGACCAGTGTTGTGGGTTGAATGGTTTCCCCCCAAAAAGAGGATGCAGTCCTAACTCCCAGTACCCGTGGATATGAACTTTATTGGAAACAGGGTCTTTGCAGATGTAATGGGGTGAAGAAGAGGTCGTGCTGGAGTAGGTGGGCCCTGATATGAAAGCACTGGTGTCCACCTGAGAGACACAGACAGGCACACAGACAAGGAGGCCAGCCCAGGAATGCCAAGGATTGCTGTCAGCACCAGACAGTTGGAAGAGGCAGGAATGATCCTCCCGTGGAGCCTTTACAAAGAGCAAGGCCCTGCTGACACCTTGATTGTGGGTTTCTAGCCTCCAGAGTACATTTTTGTTGTTCTAAGTCATCCACTTTGTGGCACTTTGTTATGGCAAAACCAAAGAGTTTTGTTAAGATACAATACCAAATTTTTTTTTTTATAATTACTAAGAAACTAATATAATCAGTGTGCTAATAAATTATACAAAAATAAGAGGAAAAGGGACAGTTTAATCAACAGCATGGTAACTGCTGAATGCAAATGCATGACCCGAGCAGGGAGGGCAGGACTATATGGAGATATATGCCAGGGGCGGAGATGTGCACCTGAGGCCTGCTTGAGATATTTATATATTGGTTGGATGAATTTTTTGTCATTGTTTGGTAAACTGTTCATAGTTGAGTATCATTTTGAGGATGGATGTTGTGATGTCTGGTTTTGCCTGCTCGGCATCCATCCCGTCCTGGTTTGAGGACAGCACTTCAGCTGCAGTTTCTGCCCGCACCGCGCCGGGCTTGTCAGTCTGTGGGTTCCATGTCCCTCCTCAGCAGCCGGTTTAGGGATGGGAACACGAGAGCAGGACCCAAACGGGACCAATGTGGTCTATCCCTGGACTCTGCTGGGGCTACAGAGAAAGAGAAGCCTTCTTGTTGGGGCTGTAGCCATAGAATATTTCCGGGGGGTTACTGGCGGCCACCAGTGGGGAGGTCCTGCCAAAGAGCAGGCTGACGCGGGAAAACAGCCACCTTGGGAACCCTGAGGTTCAGCCACATTTAAGGCCCAAACTACTCATAAACTTCTGGTTATTTCCAGTTCCCGAGCCAGTCAAACTCCCCCTCACTAAGACAGAAAATAAAGAATTCTCCAAAAAGTTCTCTGAGATAGGACATTCTGTCAACTGTAATCCTGAATAGGAGGTAACATAAACATATCCTGCATGATTTTGCTTATTTTAATATGCTTGATGCATGATCTAGATCTCTTACTTTCATTCAGAACCTCAAATGACCTACATCAATAAATTAATTATTGGTTGGTACTTGCCAATGCTTCTTCGAATATATGAACAAAAGCATTACTAACAGAATAAATAAACCATTATTAAAGATTGTAATTTCTGACACAAACAAGCTCGCTGAAGGATGCCACGGTACATCAGAGGAACGCTAAAGTAAACCCACTCAGAGAATAAAACAGCAAGCACCAACACTGAATGAGTGTGATTGTATGCAGGTGTGATGCAGAACCCCACCTGTGCTCCCACCAGGAATGGGATTTGTCCTCCACACCCTGCAGCTCCTCCCACGAGCTTGGGCTTTCAGCCTGGACTTACCCTGCACCTCCTCCTCCCCACTCCCATCCATCATGTGCGAAGTCTCATTGATCCTGCCTTTCAGATGACTGACTATGATTGAATCCACTCTTCTCCATCCCACTGTCTTCTCTAGAGGATGACCACGGACTGTAGCCAGGTCTCCCCACCTGGAGCACTCCCCCCAACTGTCCTGTGTTCCTCATCAAGTCCAACTGGGGTCATCAGTATCTGTGTCCCAATCTCAGAGCTCTTGATGTGCTCCCTGTCCAGAGGTGAAGGGTCAACTGTGTCCTGACCCAATCTGCTGTTCGAATTCTGAAGTCCAGCCAAACTTAACTAAAGCTTAGTTCTAGCTCTCTGCTCTGAATTTCTCAAGTTCTTCAATCATCTTTAAGAGCAGGGCCCGTTACTTCTATTCCACCTTGAAATTAGTAGGCATCTATTAAATATTTTCTTTTTTTTTTAAAAGATTTCATTTATCTATTTGACAGAGAGAGAGAGAGAGACAGAGAGAGAGAGGGAACACAAGCAGGGGGAGTGGGAGAGGGAGAAGCAGGCTTCCCGTGGAGCAGGGAACCCGATGGGGGGCTCGATCCCAGGATCCTGCGATCATGACCCGAGCCGGAGGCAGACACTTAACTGACTGAGCCACCCAGGGGCCCTTATTAAATTTTTTTTTTTTTTTAAGATTTTATTTATTTGACAGAGAGAGACACAGCAAGAGAGGGAACACAAGCAGGGGGAGTG